AAAAAGCAAAAGATGGGGGACCCCGCGAGGTCCTTGAAATTGTCTTTATAGTGCCTCAATCAGCAGATCACAAATGTCCTCAAACTGAAAACCCAACGCAGTGGTCCTAAATTTTCAAATGAGTGGATCAACGAGATAAAGTAATAATGACAAAAAGGATGGAAAGAAATGTATAGGAAAATTAATTAATTGTAAAATTGATTAAAAAATGCATTTAATGTTTAAACAACTTCAAAATAGATCTTATAAACAAGAAGGGAGGGAGTACAATGCTTACGCTCATAGATATTTTTGCACATCTGAAAAGCATGTAGTGTTGGACGCATTTTGGCTAAAATTTATACGTATTTTTACATCTTTACCCTTTTTTGTTTTTTCTGGGTTAGGGGTATTTTGGTACTTTCATCATGTTCATGGGTTCTACTGCAAAAATTAAAGGGCGTTATGTAAATTTAACAGTTATGTCGTTTTTGCTTTAATTTTACAAGTCTGTGGGTATTTGGGACCTTTGTATAATTTTTAGCAAAATTACCTTAAAAAGACATTTAAATAACTCAAATTCTTATTTGGGTCAGTGAATTTCTCAAAGCCATAATTAGGTCACATGACCTAAAGAGGGATTTTGAAATTTTATGAAATGACTCTAATATCCATTTATTAGCAACCTACAGAGAAGAGGATTTTCTATCATTCTCGCATTGCATAGGAACTCTAAATGAGAGACACTTGGCATTTACCATTGCAAAGTTGGAAAATTGATCAAGGAGGCAATAATGAGTTAGTTTTTATATTAAATCTTCCTTTGTTAGTCTTGATAGTTTGATCTTGCTATAAAATTGTTAATTTAGAATTGAAACATGTTAAATGCCAAATGGGACCTGTTAATTTTCAAGGTTGTATTATGATAAAGTTTTATTTAAAGACTTATTAAACATGTGGTATGGGAACAAAAAGGTGTTTATTTAGAAATCGAAACATCTTTACCTGTGAAATGGAACATATTAATTTTTAAGATTATATTATGATCAAACTTTATTCAAAGACTTACTGTAAGTATGTTATGGAACAAAAAGTTGTGAATTTAAAATTGAAATATGTTAGTTGTGAAATAGAACATGTTAATTTTTAATGTTGTATTGTGATCAAGTGTTATTCAAAGACTTATGCAAATATGTTATGGAGACAGAAAGTTATTAATTTAGAATTAAAACGTATTAACTATGAAATAAAATCTGTTAATTTAGAATTCTTCTTTCTTGATAAAGGGCATTAAAGTCATTTTATAAAATTTTAAAATCCTTCTTTGGGTCATGTGACATGATTTGGAGTTTGACAAATTTAATAACCTAAATAAGAATTTAGATTATGTAAATGTCTTTTTAAGAGATTCTTCCTAATTTTTAAATTATGCAATTTTGACTAAATATAACTTAGTTAGCCAAACATAGGCTTTTTTATTCCAATAAATTCTTCTTGAATATACCTTAAAACCTTTTTCCCTACTTTTCTTGAATTTATGAAATTTTTCTGAACTTTCAGGCATTTTATAATTATCCATTTTTAGTATGAAACTTTTCAAAATTATGCTTTCATCCCAACTTGCAACTCTATAAAAAGGAAAGTAATGGCTCTTACAACCGACAGGTAAGTGCCATCTGCTTTAATAGCGGTATGGCGGTAGAATAGTAGTATTATTATTAGTTTATTATATTTATTTAACAAAGTAGTTAAGGGCAAGTGAATTTATCGTCGCCGTAAATGGACGAATGGGGATTATGGTGATATCTAGAATCGATGGGTTAGCGAAGAGAGGCTTTATTAGTGTTAAAGTTAGGGATTGGAAACAACTATGCCAAATTAGGGGAAAAGGGTTAAATTGAGAGTTTGAATCACTAAATAAATATTTTGAAAATACTTTTAAAAAGTTTTAAATTTTTCAGAAAATCTCATTCCTTATACAGAATCGAACCCTATGTATGGGATGAGTTTACATAAAAATTTATACAAGAGTATTATATTTCTTGGATCAAACTTGAATTAGTAGTTTGAAGTTATTCTAGAATCACTATAAGTAAACCCATTCTTCATAGTTTTTATAAGGAGGGCCATCTTGTCATCATCCTGAAGCACTAATTGGGAATTGTTTTGATTGTTCCCAAATTGTTATAACTACCTAGAGTGGGGAGATCGATGCCTCTTTTGACTATTGTTTCCCTTTCCATAATGTTATTATGCATGCATGCAAAATTTTTCTTACTTATTTTTTCATTTTCTTCTTTTTCCTATGCTTACTGGATATAAATTTATTCAAATTGTACTTTATATATATAGATTAAAATTTTTTTTAAAAAAACTAAAGAATACATTTTGTGAGCCACAGTGAGGTAAATTTATAAATTAAAGAGCCAAATATACTTTCTTTTCCCCTTTTCAAATTATATACTTTTTGATCTCAAAATTGTTATCACATTTTTAAATAAAATGCATATTATATTTTGATAAAAAGTAATAAAAAAATACATTGAAAGTTGTCAAATTGTGGGAAACAGCCAGATGTCAAGTTTTTATATTGACGATTATTAACCTTTCAAATTTCAAAAACAATTACAAATAAAGTTCAAAATGTTTTGCAATTGATATATACTACCTCCGGTCCTTAATATAAGACCTCGTTTAATTTTATTTTAGTTCTAAAATATAAGATTTTAATTCATTTTGTTTCTTATAGTCTGTTACTACTGCCAAGTTCTAATCTTCGTCTCCATTTAAAATATCATATTTTAATATAAACATGTATTATTTTAGAAAAAATCGTAAAAAAACGATTTTGGAAATGAAAAAATTGTCAATAAGAAACTGTTACAATATTAATATTGGTTTTGACAAATAATATATGAGCAAATAAGAATAATTTTTGTGAACAAGTATCGATATGCAACTTTTTAATTTTCAAAGCTTTTTTTTATACTTGTTTTTATTATTTACCCACTAAGAGACTAGAACTAATAATTTAAAATCAAAGAGAATAAAAAAAATGAAAGTAAACTATAAAAATTAAATATTATATAACTCTTATAAAAAAAAAAAAATCAGCATATGGAGGTCTCAGTTAATCATCTGGGAAGACTCAGGAGGAATAAAGCTATAATAGCAACCTGTAGCACCTCCGTGATTTATGAGTTATGTTGTTTCCTTTATACCAGAATCTGAACAATTGGGAAACCAAAAAAATTGCAACAACCTCCCAAAAACTAGAGGACAAAACAAAAACACCCACATATGCTGAAAAGAACATGGAGGAAAGGTTAAAACTCACTACCTTCACAAGCTCAAGAAGATGGCCAAAGAAAAAGAGAAACCATTAGAAGATCGTGAATAGAAGGAGGAGGAGGCAATCACAGAGCTATGGTTCAAGCAATCACTTTTAACTTGGCCGTCAAAAAGAGACAACCATCAAATACATACAGATTTATTTTCAAATAAGAAATATTTAATAAAATTTGACGGTTTTATGTTTAGATCTCAAGCTTATTAAAAAAATTATTTAATGGGTAAAAACCGTCAAATGATTGCTTTCCTATCCTCTGCCTCACTTGTTCCGCCGTTAAGTGAAGATTATTGTGATGAACTACACTGCCTCTAGTCTAATATAAGAGTTAGTAAGATATTTAATTTGTATTTTAAATATAAGATCTCAATTCATATTTTTTTTATATTTATTCTTTTTTGTTTCAAATAGTCCTCAGGGTGATTAATATATTAAATGGTTTTTATTATAACATACAGATTCATAAGGGTACTTTGGGAAAAAAACAACACTCATTTATTATAAATAACTAACTAAACTAATTTTTTTTTAATATTTACAAATTAGTTATTTAACTCTTATGTTAAGGAGTGAGGTAGTATTATCTTTATTTCTTCGTCCACCCCCCCCCGGTATTTTGCCATTCTTTGTCTAGGATTTCCTAGCTAGTACTGGTTTCCGAGTGTCGTGTTTCGTTTTTTCCAATATGAAGGTTTCATAAATTTTTATTTAAACCAAATTGGGGGTTAAATCATTTAGAAATTTTAGAATATTAGGAGATTCTATTTGGTGCAAGAGATGGCCATTAGGATAACTCTAGTGTGTCAGCATACACGCACCACACACACATGCATTTTGCCTATTACGCTGCAATTTTTTTCCCTACTAAATTGTGTGATAATATTTTATAATTGATATTAAGCTTTCTGAGAAACTTACTTTCTAGGCAGTCCAGTTTGGTATGTTGGCAACACTCAGGAAATAAGCCAGTAATTAGTTAAAAAGAAGCCGCTTAATTACTTCGTATAGCACAAAATCACTTAAAATAAGATAATCTGCCAAGACGTAACAGAGCAAACGACATCATCATTTATGCAGAACACATAATCACAGGTAACATTACAAAAGCTGATTTATTTAGAGAGCAATATTAGGGAGAGCTCATTAACCTGTATCTGCTACATTAACATATTAAACACCAACATCTGCATCATTAATCACTCAACGGACTACCTTCCGGATATGAGGCACAAAGGCCGATGGCGGAGGAGGGGATGGGGTGGGGGATGGCGTTGGTGGCGGCGGCGTTACTGGTTCGAACACAACGTTGAACTTTTCATAGACCCCATCAGGACAAAACACCATACGGTAAAAGTCTTTATTATGTTCGTAAGGTGTGATCATAAGAGGATAATCATCTTTTCCTCCAAATTTGAAGTTAATATAATACTCATGGGCCGAATCATCAGATTTGGCAATTTCGAACCAACCTGGCATGGTTACAATATCATCGGTTGGACCAATCACCACCGGGTACTGTTTGCCGCCAGGGATCGAAACATTCCAGTTGCCTGGTTCAGCACAGTGAGAAACCTCAGCAAATTCGAAATCTGTTTTTTCTTCCAACTTGATAGTGTCATCATCCGCATGTAAAATCGAACTCTTATTATCAGAGCCGATGATCACCGTGGTGGCACAGGTATCATGCCCAACTTGATCGACTTCAATTCCACGGGATTTGTTGTTGGCATCCAGAATGTGGTATTGCTCACCAGGCACCACAGCGTTGCCATAGGTGTCGACCACAACTTCTGCAGCTAGGGTTAGGTGTTGAGTGGAGAAGGCAAAGAGAAGAAGAAGAAACAGAGAAGAGAATGCAGTCTTCATTGTTGTAATAAAGAATGCAATATGATAGGAAAGTGATGAGAGGGTGTGTTATGGAAGAGAGTGAAATATGACAGAAAAGTGAGAGGGTGTGCTGTGGAAATGGTAGCTTGCATGGCTTCTATTTATAGAGTTTAGAAGGCAAAGGTGAGGGACTAGTTTGGTTGCTTGTTACTTTGACGAGCACTCTAAGTTCATCAAATCATAGACCGTCCAAATCTGAGTTGAACTGTCTAGATTTAATTTTTAAAAAAATAATTATTTTAATAGATATAGAATCTAAAATAAAGACAATCTTTTTCACTGTTTTTAAAATAATTGATTAAAATTTTAAATTTAGACTATTCAAATCAAACCTAAACGATTCAAATTTGATGAGCGTCCAAACTGGTTACCATCTCACTGCTTATAGGCCACCACAACAATTTTCTAAGTTACAAGGGAAATTAGCAAGTTCTCAATAAATGACTAGGATAAAGGAGAGTTTTTAAATGGGCTAAAAGTAAAGATCGGTTGTACAACTGATCTTTAAAAAAAAAAAAAAAGGACCGGTTTCTTAATAACTAATCTGGAAAACAAAATAAAAAATATTTTCAGAATAATAAAGTTGCGTGAATTCTTTTTTAAAAAAATACGAATTTTATAAAATTGTAACAATCCAACCCAAAAAAATAGCACTTACAAATAATCCAGACTTGAAAATCGCAACAAAAAGTCCAACAATAAGGAATAGCAATAACAAATGTAATAAAATATATTTTTCTCAGGTTGAATCGACAACAAACAAACGCAAATATCGAGTTATATATAAGCCAGAGAAATTTAAAGATTGAGCCGTACTTCGAACTGAAATATCATATGGCGTTTATGCTATCAAACGCTCAGTCTAAAAATTTATTAAATATTATTTTTAAAATTAGTTATACTATTTTTTAGACTAATTGTATAAGTATCCAATCTAAAAAAGTATATTTTACACCTTATGTCTAAGGAACCAATCTAAAAAGTTCGCCAATATTTAAAATATGTACTAGTGAATGATTTTGTAACAAGGACTGGACTAATTCAAGAATTTGGATCTTATAAAAGGGACCAGAGAAACCATAGATCAGAGCAAGGTAAAAAATAATTAATAAGATGTACTTAAGGAATTAATAATAATAATAATAATCCAAGATACCGGTAGTTGTTGAATAATTTTAATTTAGTTTTATGTATTTTTTTATTTTTATTGAACTTAATTCATACATTCATGATGTTAATTGTTATAATCTTGCAATCTACAGAGTTGCCTAGTTCAACTACTTTGCTTTTTAGTTGGCAAAAAAAAAAAAAAATAGTAGTACTTTGCTTTTTAATACTTCTTGAAAATTAACTTTTCAGAATAATGTGCTAATTTTTAATCTTTATGACATAAACATCTTTACTTTAGGTTTAATTATGAAATGTGCTTTCTTAAATTAACACAAAACACTTAAAGCCAAAAAAATAATACAAAACACTTAAGAAGTACAGGTTAATTTTGATTCTATATAATTTTCTTAAATTATTTGAGTTCCGTGAGAAATTAGCCTTACCTCGAAAGTCATAATCCATCAAGTTCTAAATATAGAAGTTAATTAGAGGATTTATTTTGATTTTAGAGAAAATTAATTTGGCAGTACAGTCCTTATAGTTTTTTTATTTTTATTTCTTCCTTATTAATGGCTCCGTTAGTGGTACAGGTCCTCCTCCCCATCTCTCCCCTTCCTTCCTTAAAGTAACCCCTCCACAATCCTCCACCTCTCTCCTCTACCTCTTCCCCACCACTCACCACTGCTCCTTCACAATCCGAGCTGCTTGTGACAAGTTTGACAGGAAGAAACCCCATGTCGACCCATAGCCTTCGAAAGCAAAGCTATGATTGATGCAAAATTTTGATCGGTGAATGTAAGAGGAGAATGTTTACAGTCTTTATTTGATTTACTTTATATGGTGAGAGCAATACTACCTCTTGTCTTTAATATAAGATCTAACTAACTAATTTAAGTAGATTAAAAAAATTAGTTAAGTTAATTATTTATAATAAATAAGTGTTGTCTTTTCTAAAATACTTCTACTAATTATATGTATTAGCCAGAACTATTATTTGATGAACAATTTAATATATGCACCTATTACAAGGGTTACCTTAAAAATAAGTGGATACGAGAGACAAAGTGAATTGGAATCTTATATTTATGACCAAATTAAATCTCAAACTAGTTCTTATATTAAAGATCGAAGGTAATAACTTATTTAGAAAGGTGGAGGATTGTGATGAAGGAAGATCTACACATCACCCATGCTCAACATTACCCAACGATGTGTGGATATTTTATAAACAAAAGGAGGATTGTGATGAAGGAAGATCTACACATCACCCATGCTCAACATTACCCAACGATGTGTGGATATTTTATAAACAACAGGACCTGCACCATTAACGGAGCAAACAACAAAGATGAAATTTTAAAATAAAAAAAAAACTATGAGGACTTAATTCAAAACCTGGAAAACTATAAAAACTGCCAGATTAATTTCTTTTGATTTAATATATAAAACCTTAATCTCCCTTTATACGATATATATCTATTATACTACCTCTAGTCCTAAATATAAGAACTAGTTAACTAATTTGAGTAGATTAAGGAAATAAGTTAAGCTAGCTATTTATAATAATGATGGAGAAAATTTTGATTAAGGACCACATAGACAATTTATTTCAAACAGCCCCAAAACATTCTGAAATGTTACTGTAGAACCAAAGGAGCAAATTAAAATTAATTTAGGAAAGGAAAAGACATTTTTACCCCCCAAAACTCTGTGACCCTAAAGCGCTTCCTCCTCTCTCTAGAAACATTCGATAGCTCCAACTCCTCTCTCTCTCTCTCTCTCACTCTATGAAAAATCCGATGTTGCGTTGAGAAAGACCATTTGCAGTCGTCGTTGTTCTGGTAAGGAGAGCCGTCGCCGTCATTACTATTCTATAATTTGCAAATTCACAATAAAAATGAGTTTTCACAACACCAAATCACCATTTTTCTGGAGAAGTGGAATTTGCAAATTTATAATACAATTCATGATAGGAACTGAAAGGCTTGCTCTCAACACTCAACAATGTAAATTTAAAATCAACCCACTGTATAATTTATCTCAAATCTGAGTAGTAAAAAAATTTCTCGTTGATTTGGAACTTCACGACAGCCTAAACCAAACCCATAAAATCTACAATAGAAGAAATGGAGAAGCATTTGCGGTATTTATGTTATTAATGGGTGTATTCGTGTTGCAAATATTCTAATCCTACTTTTGAGCTATCACTCCCCAAGTTATGAACTGTTTTGTTCAACTTTATAAATGAAATAAATCTACTTGCAAATGGACATATTTATATTGTCAATAGGCATATTCGTATTGCAAATCTCCTAAATTTACTTGTAAACTGTTGGTCTCATATTTGCGAATTGTTCTGTTTAACTTTATGAATAAAATAAATCCACTTGTAAATAGACGTATTTATATTGTTAATAGGCATATTTGTGTTGTAAATGTCCTAATTCTACTTGTGAACCATCGCTCTCAGACTTGTGAATTGTTCTGTTCAACTTTATAAATAAAATAAATCTACTTGCAAATAGACGTATTTATGTTGTTAATAGGTGTAATCATGTCGCAAATTTTCTAATTCCACTTATGAACTATCGCTCCCAGACTTGTGAATTGTTGTGTTCATGAATTCAATAAATCCACTTGCAAATAGACGCATTTCTATTGTTAATGGGTGTATTCGTGTTGCAAAGTGCCTAATTCCACTTGTAAATAGCCCCTCCTGGATTTATGAATTATCATGTTCATCTTCTTCAATTCAACTAGTTCACTTGCAAATGGATGTGTTCTTGTCATTGATATACGCATCTTTTTTGAAAATTTTCTAATTTCAGTTGTCAATATGACAGCCACATTTGTAAAACATGAAGTTGTTAACTAATGTATCCTTGTTGCCAATTCCCTAATTTCATTTGTCAATAGTATATCATATATTTATAAACTAGTGTGGATAAGCAAAAGATTAAAATTAATTGACATGAAACATACTCATAATATATATTCTCTGAAACTGAAATTGTACAAATTCCCTATACACAAATTTGAACACATTCTAAAGTAGTTTAAATTACATCTTAGATAGAAATCTTGGATAGGAATGATTTACAACGCCTAACTTCATTTTTTTTCTGTAAGTAATGAGCCACCACAACAACTCAGACTTTAGTACAGTGTATTATTCCTATGACACAAGGATAAGAACTATCAATACATTTACAAAGGTGCAATAATGAAAACTCAGAATAATTGATAAACTCATAAACATTTAATTCCACTGCCACTACTCATATATAATATATTGCTACACATTATTCAAGCATTAGTTTCAATCAATTTTTAATAATTAAACACAATACATGTTTGCAACAGGAATTTGCAAATTTACAACAAAAATACGGGTTTTCACAATACCAAATCACCATTTTTCTGGAGAAGTGAAAGGCTTACTCTCAACATTCAATGGTGTGAATCTAAAATCAACATACTGTATAATTTATCTCAAATATGAGTAGTAAAAAAATTTCTCGCTGATTTAGAACTTCACGACAACCCAAACCAAACCCATAAAATCTACAATAGAAGAAATGGAGAAGGATTTGCAGTATCATATACAGAAATTTTTGAATGGAAAGACAGTAAAAGAGGTCATGTACAGAGAGAGAGAGAGAGAGAGAGACTATGACGACAGCGAAGGCTCTTGTTACTAAAATAGTACCGACTGCAAAGGCACTCCATACTAGAATAGTAGTGACGGTAAAGGGTCTCCTTACTGAAATGACAACAGTAGCAAATAATCTCTCTCAACGCAACAGCAAATTTTTCAGATAGTGAGAGAGAGAGAGAGAGAGAGAGAGAAGAGCTCAAGCTATCAAATGTTTCCAAAGAGAAGGGGAAGAGTTCCAGGGTCAGAGTTTTTAGGGGTAAAAATGTCTTTTCTTTTTCTCAGTTAATTTCAGTTTGCTTCTTTGGTCCTGCAGTGACATTCTAGAATGTTTTTAGGGATATTTGAAATAAATTGCCTATTGTGGTCCTTAATTGAAATTTTCCCATAAATATGAGTTATATTTTCTAAAATATTCTTGTTAGTCAAGTGTATTGGCTAAAACTACCATTATTAGGACTAACTTGGGAAAGAATGTATAAATATGAGGACAAAGTGGATTGAAATTTTATATTTAGGACTAAAATAAAAGTCAAACGATGTCTTATATTAAAAATCGGAGGTAGTATTTTTTACCCAAAACTACGCCTATTTATTACACATATTAATTAATGTATGAAATCAATAAAAACTGCGTATCCAATATAAATAATTAAAAAGATTTTAGAGCCACCAAAACACATTTTTTCACATAAATATTATTTGGTCACTTTGAATATTATTTTACTAACTATAAACCTTAAGTCATGGTTAAAAAAAACTATAAACTTTGAGTAATTTTATCATTAATTTAAAAAATAACATAATCGGGATTCAGGGCCTTTAACATTAAAATAATTGAAGAGCCAAATGACAGAAAATTTAAATAATCACCGGATCGAACATGACACAAAACGAAAATTAATCGATCGAAAATAGATCCTTCACTTAGATTAAACATTATTACCTTTTTTGTGGATAAATGTTTAACATGTTCAAATTGAACGAATATAATACTCCACTATTATATATGGTTAAAAATAGACAACATATAATTTAGCATTGACAGTTGACACGCATCCTCAACGCGCATCACGCACAAATTAATTAAGAGGTTGTTAAACGGGACGTCTTTAATTACATATGGTCGATCATAATTTATATGAAGACAAATTGGGAAATATTATGGTATGTTTAAAATTCTTCAAATATTGATAAATTCTTCATGCATGCAACACAAAATGATAGAGACGTAGAGAAATTGAAGGACAACTCTTTGTGGTCTTCATCGAATCGGACAGAATATAGTCATGTGGTAAAGACATCTGTGAGTTGCTGGTGTATATAAAAAAACTAATGAACAATGCATCTGATTGTCGTTTCCGTACAAATGAAAGAAAATTTAAATATTCCCCAGAAAAATGACACAAATTAACGATTAATCTACGGAATATAATAACCCTTAACGCAGATTAAACTTGATCTTTCTTGGAGTTCATGTTTAACGTGAATGTATAAATAGTATGTTTAATTTAATTCAGATAAGAATAGAATTAAAAACTAAATCTCTTGGCTGTAGTGAGAACGACTGACTCTAGGACGAGTCAGCTTTTAACATTAGATCTAATTTTCTTTGTGACGAGTCATGTCGTCACTGAAAGAGACTTTTCAAAAATTAAGTGACGAAGAAATTGAAAGAGACTTTTAATTGAACTAGGACAGCAGAGAACGAGTTAAAATAGTGATAATTGCTTTCAAATTGAACCAAAATTCAAACTAATATGTTGTTTATATGATTTAGACTTTTGAAAAATTAAATAAGTAACTTTCTATGGTTGCTTGAGCTTTTTATTAGTATGTATTGAAGGGTCTGTATATATATTTTTTTGGCCAAAGAAGTGTCTGTATATATGTTTGTGGGTTTTGTAGGATCTTTGGAGCCTCTTGGTTGAAACAAAAGAATGTGGAAATGGTCTTGAGGATCTAGAAGGCAAAGGAAAATCAAGCCTTGAAGAGCTGAGCATGCAGCACAGAGTATTTATTTAAGAACCTTTTAAACTAAAAATATGAGTGGTTGATAAAGAGTATTTAAGTCAAAATATTTAAAATTCAACTAACATATAAAGTTATCTTTTGTTTCAGAAAGATATGTATATCTTTTGGAAAAGAAAAAGAGTAATTTAGTAAAACTAAAACAATCGTATAAATTACTCATTAATCCAGCTGCTAAAAGAATAGGATAATTTAATTATTTGAGTCTAAAGAATTCTCAATACCCGCCAATATGGTTCAAGTGTTTTATTATATTAATAGGAAATAGATTTACCCGGGGGAAAAGCTAATAGATGAATAAATCACCACGAGACCATACTCACATAGTCTTAAAATTAAAGAGTGAAATAGTAGAAATTGTAATTTTAAAATTTAAAGTGGTTAAAAATCTATCTTTCTAGTTAGGATCGCTGGAGGCAATAGAATCAAACTGAATGCGTTTAAAAAAAAAAAAAAAAGCAGATATCTTATCTGACGAGCAAACCAACTTTTTATTTTATTATAAGGAGCAATCCTCATAATATTACAAATAGCAGCTACTAATACTACTTTTGCTATATTAACCTATACTGTATATAATACACAACAATAGCCGATAATTTATTCGATTGAAACGCAAGTAGAGTACCCTTTCCTTTAGATTATTAATTTATTATAGTAATTTTGTGATCAAAACAAGAAGATTCAATTGAGAGTGCCGAATTTCTCAATCAACTTGGCCACCAGCTTGTCAAGAGGAGGCTGTAACTCCTTTATCAAAGGATGTCCGTTCAGGGCATTCTCCCATGAGAGGAACTCGAAGTTCTTTTGGGGACAAATCATCTCCATTTTTGTGGCCTCCTTGATGGCCTTGTAGTTAGTAGAGTTTGCTCCCACCACAATGTCCAGCAGCCCCAAAGTCTTAATGCCCTTGGAGTAAAGGAATTCCTCAGCAAAATCTTTCTCGATCCCTTCAATAAAAATGGCAACTAACTCATTCACCTTCTCAATTGCTTTCTCTCTTTCTTTCGCTTTTGATCGTAGGATGGTGTAGATAGCTGGAATGATCTGAAAACAAAAATCATTTTATTAGAATCTTTAAACACACAAGCTTTTGATGTCTTGGAGCATCAATTCATCAAAGGGATAAGGTTTTTAAATATCTCGGACGTATACACAAAGAAGCACCCAGTACCTTTTTTTTTTTTTACTCTTATATATCCTGAAATTTTTATTTCGTAACATTTCTGTCCCAACCCATTATCTACCATTAAGTATGACCGTTAAAGACACATGTCAAACCACATAATTCAATAGTCAAACTTAGCGGATAACAACTAGTATATTTTTGCTATAAAAATAAACTTCCGGGACATATAAGAGCCAAAAAAATCCTACAGGTGCTGGATGCTCCTTCATGGATATTTTCAGGGTATTTAAAACCTTGTCCCATTCATCAAACTCTGTCAAAAGAATATTACGTATAGAAGAAGATTTTAGCATAGGTTGTGGAAGTGACACTCACTTTTTGATCATGGTAGTTGACCCAAAAGCGGATTTTGGCCCTTTGATAAGGATCATGAGGCAAGAGTCTAGAAGTGTGACCCCAAGTTTCGTCGATGTACTCCAGAATCACAAGCGAGTCAGCTATTGCCTTATCATTGTGTAACAGCACAGGAACTTTTTTCACAGGATTGTTCGTCAGCAGTAGATCACTTTTGTTCGATAAGTCTTCCTCCATATATTTGTAGGGTATGCCTTTAAGTTTGAGGGCCAGTTCAACCCTTCTACAGTAGGCACATGCCCATGTTCCCAACAGCACAACTTGGTTATCTTTCTCTCCCATTGCTTGTTTCTGTTTTTTTTCTGTGTGATCCATCAATTTGCACCAATGTTAGGGTTTTATAGAAGTTATTTCCCCGCTCAGCCAATGTGCATTTCTTGAGGAAGAAGCAGCAAAATGCATTTTTGCTTTCTTGGACAGAAAGATTGGTCCATTTTGAATAGTAACCAAACAAAAAAAAAAAGGGACTTTACAGACAAGATTTCAATGTACCCAAGGACCAAGTCTTTTTCTTCTAGTGAGAAAATTTTAGGAAAGGGGTAGCCATGGACCAAGTCTTATGCAACATAAAGGTTGCATTTTGTGGATGGAAATTTTGATTTCTTATTTATATTGGAACCCACCGAGAAGGTAATTCGGCATTCAAAATGTAGAATATTTTATTTATGTATTTGAACCAACATTAAATTACTGAGGTTTCTTTTTCTATTTTAACCATTTTTTTAGGTGTGCAAATTTGGGACCGCTATGAGAAATCCTTTAAAATTTGTGACTCATTTTGTTTTTCGATTGCAAATTTCTGGTTTTTTTTAATTTCTTTTCATATTGGAAGTGAAAATAAATACAGGACTGGCTCAAATTTTGGGGAAGAATAATGAATAATTGAACAAGTCAACACCTTTACCAAACACGTAATACCAAACAAGCATTAGACCACTCACTTAAGCAGAACAGGATGAATAATGAGTTTAAAGTTGCGCATAATAGCCAAATAATATCTGTAAGTCCAATATTTGCTAAAGTGTGGGCCTAATTAATTTTGCTTTTTGGATTAACAAGCTCATCAATTATGTTTACAACAGTAAGGGCTAGCACTTAATCCAGGGGAAGAATATCCAGGTATCTATATATATCTAGATATAATATAGAAAAGATTAATGTGCAAATCCCCACAATTTATTATTTTTACCTTATTTTTAATTAAGTTTTTGAAGTTTTCTTTATTGGTCCTTATAGTTTTCTCAATCATCGACACTGGTTGTTATGCTTGTAAAAAGTTCTAACTTGTCATATTATTCATGAGTATAATACAACACATCTTTTAGATTCTAAATAATGCGAGGACCTACACAAGTCATGTTTATTCGGTTGTTTACAATGAAGTTGCATATAATTACCAAAAAATCCTAATGACAATAGAGTAGTCTGCATTGCTTGGAATAAGGAATGACAACTTATTCTTATTAGGACTTACTGATAATTATTTTTTTCTTTGGGGTCTCATTGTAACTTTCCCAAGAAATAAAATGAAGAGTTAATATAATTTTTTATTCTTAAAATTTTAGCCCATTTTGGTTTTGGTTCTTCAAATTTCAAAAGCCGTGGTTTTAGTCCCTGGAATTTAGTCTGTCTTAAAATGATGCAACGGTGTTAAAATCTGTTGAAATGTGATAATTAATTATGTTAAAAGTGGTGATATGAACTCACCAGATAACACTTAAGTGGATCTTATATGCTGGATCTTATATGAATAACAAAGTGCAACTCAGTCAAAAGCTTCTAAAACTGAATAGTGAGGAAGAAAAAATAGGAGGCCAAAGATCTGAGTTTTGAGAATCTGTTCTTTTTTTCCCCCTTCTATTATCAACACAAGATATAACTAGATACCATCTGGTGAGTCTACATCACCACTTTGACATTATTTATGATACTTTAGTAGAATTTAACATTGTTATATTTTCAGAGACTAACATTTTAAGACAAACTAAATTTTTGAAACTAAAAACCATGAGTTTGAAATTTGAGAGACTAGAATCAAAATAGACCTAAATTTTAAGGATCAAAGATTATATCGACTCTAAATGAAATGGGAGAATTGAAAGAGCATAGTTGGTTGCTTTGTCTGTTGTGCTCTGAGTAGAAAAGATAGCAACGGTTGGTGTCAAGTAACAGTTTATTGGTGATGTGCCAGACTACTTATCGGGCAAAGAAAAGAAAAATCAAACCAGACTGGACCAGTCAGTTCAATTAGAAACCGGTCATACGGCCTATGTTCAGTCTAGTTTGAGTCCTAAACCAGTTAAGGATTAAACCTTATTGTGAAAGAGAAGTGAAAAATCGTGATAAAAGATGAAGTGGAGAAGTGTTTAAGAATAAAGATTATTTTGGGAGAGTGAAGGCTCAAGATTTGCTGTTGAAGTTGTGAGAAAAAGAGACCGTAAAAAATAGAGACAGCACCGGCAAGAACTTCAAATTGAAGCTAAGAGCATGAAAAGATGGAGTTAACGTGTTTCCTAGCTCTGACATAACGTGTTTCGGTACTTCTTTTTTTTTTTCCCCCTGGTTATTCAAAGCTTGCTTAGTGCGATGACTTTGTGGAAATAAAAAATTATTTATATTATTATATTCTATGAGTAGCGCAGCACTCTATCTATAAGTTGCTTATATTATACGTAAATATACTAGAAGAGGAGAAAAGGACTCATATTATTATTTTTAAAAATTATTTTTGTTAAAAAAATATTTCAGCTGTATAAGGATGGATATTCCCAACATTGTATGTTGTTATTGTTAGAATTAAACCATTGTTGATTGTTGTATTTATTTTATATTTTTATATTAGTAATAATTAATGTAGTTGTATTTTGTTAATTAAATTATATTATTTTAATATGACCGGTCTTATCCTGAGTTAATCCCAATCTAACCTACTAATTCCTGAACTAATAACTTCACCAATTTAGTGTTCGATCTGATTTTTTGAACCTTGATTGGATTGTCTTATAAGAGCAACGGAGTTATATTTTGGGCCTTCATATTTGGGTAAATTTAGAGTCCAATTGTTTAAATTGGTTCAAGTGGGCTCCGTAGATGAATAAGACACTAGATTTATGGGCTTGGCCTTGATGACTTCGTCAGTGCCAACGGCAAGCCTCCCCACCTTTGGTACCCAAACTGAACTCAAAGCCATTAATGGCCGATAAAGAGGTTGACTCTGGCTGAGATGCAACTGAGAAGAGAACAAGAACCTTGCTATACCTGTGACGACAAATTATTTGCTAATCGTAGATGACCAAATCATCGATTGATGATTTTACAAAGCAAGATAGAAGGAGAATGTCAACTTCAAGGATTTCCCGTCATTTCAATAGGTTTTCTTTCAGCTGTGCGCACTTTTTTGATACACACACATATATATATTTTGAATACTCATATAAACAAACATGCATGGAGGCTAACAATCCCCTTCCGTCAAAATGAATAAATAAAAGGAAGAGTTTAATTAATGAGTTAAATTCAAATTTTTCTCCAAAAATTTTCTTATACTAAATTACCTGCAGTGTTCTTTCAAGTCTCAAAATAAATATTTAATTTAATTAATTTCTTAATCTTTAATTAAGCAAACCCCCCAAACCCCCAATTTTCATTGCAAATTCTACGTTGTTATGTAAGAGTGAAATTATCTTTGATGTGACCTAGAGTCCGTTTGGATTGGTAATAGAAAAGGCATCTTATTTCTAATCTGACTTTTAGAAAAATAAGATTGGATAAAAGTTAAATTGGATAAGGTGAATTGTGTTTGAATTAGAGTTTTAAAAAGTTAGTTTGTAAAAGTGAAATTAGTAAAAAATTGTTTGGATTATAATTGAATAAAAATAAGTTTGTTTAAGTAAAACAAATGAGACCCACATTTTGTCATTCTTTCTCTACTTTTCCAACTCTATAAGCTGCAGTTTTTAGCTTTTGGCTCAAGTATGTGATTTTGGCATTAGCTCTTAATTTTTTAAGCTCTTCCAAACACACTCAAACATATTAAAAGCCAAAAGTCACTTAAAAGCTACTTAAAAGTCACCCAAACATAGCCCCACACAGGCACTTAATTCAAGTTCTACAATAAACCATACTCTCCCTAACATCAATCTAGTACACCCAACAATCTCGTTTCTGTCAACGTATCCCTTCCTTTAGCAACTTGATACATTGTTGTTGCAGTGTCATGAGCCAAAAGAAAGGATTAAAATAGGTTAAACAGGAGCTTATCAAAATCGAACACAAATTTTTGGACATTATGTGCCTGTTTGGATTTTACCCGATATTTCAAACAACCTTTTTACCAATCTCACTTTTATAAATTCCAATCCAAATACAATTCAACTTATCTAATTTAACTTTTACCCAACTTTACTTTTCTAAAAATCAAATTAACAATAAACTATTTTTTCAATCACTAATCCAAACGGACTCTACATTCATATGACATAACCTTAAACAAAAGATCATGTTATGGCCAAGCTTGGAAGTAAATTCCACCAGAAACTTGCACATTGCAGTAACTAACCTTCACTCAAATGTAAGTTTGCAAACTTCAGTTTATGCAATAGTTTCGCAAGCTCTAAAGCAAATACACACTTAAAGTCCTGCATTGTTTTCATCATTGCTCGTGCATGAAACAGTTGCGACATTCAATATTTGTCTCATTCTTCATGGATGAGGAACTATATTGTTTCAATTTGTATTCTTCGCGTTACATTCATTTTACACTCGAAAATCTCAAGACAGTTTAAAGAACCAGCCGTTTCGGCCAGGAAATTCCAAAGAACTTGATAGGAAAATACTAGGAAATTCCAAAGAACTTGATAGGAAAATACTCTCTTGATAAATGCCACCTCAAAATTTTGGACTCAGATCGCTTACCTCTGTGGCCAGGCAAACAAAACCTACTTAGTCTCTACATAAAATCATCAGCCAAAGTCTAATTGCAGGATTAGGACATCCTCAATAGAAACAGATCTAAAAGTTCAATGACATCAATATAAATATGTTCTACTAAAGAGGCTCCATGTTCACTACCTAAGATGAAAAAACAGAGATAAATTATTAAGCAATATTCAAAATGTTACAACAACCCTCCTAGGCCTAAGGCAAAATAGATCAGTTTCAGTTCAATACAGCATAAAATTTATTATGTAGCATACTCTAAATTCAATTGTAAAGTTGCTTGAACCTTCTGCAAGCCTCCAATATATTTTCCCTGTGACCAAAGGCACTAACCCTGACAAAACCTTCCCCGCCAGGTCCGAAACCACTGCCAGGTGTTGTAACCACATGAGTCTTCTCAAGAATCTCAGCAAATACATCCCATGAACTTCGCCCAGGGAAATGAACCCACACATATGGGGCATTTTTACCTCCATATACTTTAAATCCGAGGGTTTCAAATGTCTCTGTTATTATGTTTGTGTTTTCTTTGTAGAATCCAATAACATCTTGCATAGCCTGCATTCCATTTCAGCAAGTCCATCAAGCTGCTCATCTCATATGTTTTGAATTTTCACAAAATTTCGTCAAATCACATATCATTCTGCCCCAAATAACATACTCACTTCAGTACTAAATGTAGGAGAGATAACTATTTCACAAATATTGAAGAAATTAGTTAATTATTTGTAACAAATGTTTGTTTGGTTTCCCTAAAATATCCCCTTTAATCATTACTCCCATTAATGGAAAATCCCTTTAATATGGATAGTTTCTGGAAAAAATTATAAACTTGGAGTCAAAGTTGATTAAGGTCTTATACTTAGGACAAAAGCAAACATTTCATTTCAACTAATTCCTACGTTTAGGACTAAAGAGAGTATTATCGAAGGCAAAGAAATGGGAAACTCAAGGCTCAACTTTGCAACCCACTGTCACATCCTCATCTAATAAAAGCAAGTCATAGCAGTTCATCATGAACTACAATCAGAGAAGTTGAAAAGGTGGGGTGAATGCATGCAATATGGGATGATACCAAAATCAGAGAAGTGGAAAAGGCATCAAGTGGATAAAAAGACAGTTACATGCAATAATTAAACTTTTTTTTTTTCTTTTAGAGCATAGCCCATTGAACTTGGTCAAACAAAGGTAGCATATGGTATGAACCTAGCTTGCTTGTGAAATGAATTCAAAGACTTCGGCAATAAAACAATAACTAACCTTAAGGCCTTCTGGTGAGAGGCAAGCCAAACCACCTGCTTGAGAGATATTAGATGCACCATTAAAGCTAGTACATACAATACGGTTGAAATCCCTGGCAACTGGAAAGCCATCTGAAAACAATAACTGCTTTGGAATCACTGTCCATCCCAACCGAACTCCAGTGAAACCAGCATACTTGCTAAATGATGCTGTCTCAATTGCGACCTAAGATTGTTGTGAGGATACAAACATGTTATCAAGCAGAAATGCAAAAGGTATTACTTGATGGTCAGAATCAGTTTCCTAAATGAATTCAATTGGCTGCTGCTTATTAAACTTGTACAACTTTAGTGTAGCCCTATGAAGCAGTGACATGAAAAATCTGAGGCATACACATACTGGACATGCCAAACATTCATGGGAATGAATATTTGAATCCTGCTCTATTGTGCCATAATGCAGGAACTCATCAGCTGAGTGCAATCAGAATACATGACAAGGCACTTATAGCTGAATAAATAAATCAAAGAAAAATTATGTCACCAAGAAAAAAATTTATATTTTTGCCAAAAAAATCTAGTGCTACGGCCTACAGCGGAACAGTAACACGTAGAACATATGAAGTGGCACATAACATTGAACAAGAGAAGAATCTACCAGATGCATCATTCAATGGTAAACAAATTATAATTTACCATCATTCAAATCGCCCACATATTATGATCATATTAATGGTTAACTAAATGCAAGTCATTAAGATTCATAGTCAAAGGAGCCAAGAGTTGACAAAATGCTAATCGTGAAAAATCAGTTCTGATAGAGGGTGGGTGAGAAGAGAAATCTGGCATACTTCTTTGGCTCCAGGAATTTCAAAGATGGAGCGCGGTTTGTCATCTGAAATGTACATTGCATATGCAGAATCATAGACAATTATAGACCCATTGTCCTTGGCAAACTGAACTAATTGAGTTAGTTGCTCCCTTGTTGCTGCGGCACCAGTAGGATTGTTGGGTGAACAGAAAAATATTATGTCTGCTCGTGAAGCTAATGATAAATCAGGAAAGAAACCATTTTCTGGAGTACATCTCATGTATTCAATGTTTCCATACTTTTCAGCATCCTTCAGATATTGGCCAGTCTGACCCATAATAACACTGGAGTCCACATAAGCCTGCATAAAAAATTACCACGACATTTATACAGATAGGAACCAGGGAACCTGAGCAGAATAAATATTTGTTCACTCCATCTTCGCATATTCTTTTTTCAATGTTTTATTCAGCTCACCATCTCTTGTAAGAATATTGTGGGCAGATATATAGCCCAAATCAGCCTATTTTCCCTTCTTTCATTATTTATCTTTTTTTTTTATATAAGTATTTATCTGTTATTATTTTCACATTTCTTGTTTCTTTTTTTATTCAGTCTCCCTTGATGCTTGGGGTTAAGCTAGTTAAATGTGCAAATCTGCCCGTATTTGCACTCTTTTGGCCAACGGAAAAAAATAGAGAACCATGGTTCAGGTATGCACAAATATAATCTTGAAAGTCTTCCAAAAAGAAAATTCACAATGAGGATGATCAACCACTCAACCAATGAGAATGAATGTAGATAGTTTGTCGCACAGAAAGAAAAATCTGACAATGTACACTAAGAGTGCCTTTATTGACGGACAATCAGATGTTCAACCATGGAGAAATAGCAAATATTCCTCAGAAACCATGAGGGAAGAGCAGTGTGCAGTATATTAAGACAGCATTCATACAAGTTTCACTGCTGACAATTATTGGAATAGTATAAAACGTGTATTCTTGGCAAGAAATCAATCTGCAAGAGCAGTAAAATCTTAAACACTGCCAAAGACAGTGTGTTTGGGAATTGAGAGTAAAAAGGAAGGCAAGGAAATGAATCCAAAGAAAATGAAAGAAGGATAAAGGAAGTGAAAGTGGTAGTTAAATGACAGTTTCACTCCCCCGACTTCAGAGAAGCTTCACTCCTCCAATATCCTCCAAATTCAATTAACTTATAATAGAAGCATGGAGCTTTGAAAGATTTTGGAAGGTCGATTAAGTGTGCGTTTGGTTTACAGCTTACCAAAAGTACATTTACCAAACTGACTTGCAAGACGGTAAAAGCAACTCCCACTTACGTATTCCAAACTGACTTTTCCATGACTTCTAAGATTTGTGGATGGACTTTCAAAATATAAATTCTTCTATCCAAAAAAAGGTTGAGTGGAAGCTAGTTTGCCAAAAGGACTTTTTGGGATACCAAAAGTGGTATCCGAACACCCCTAAAATGTTTTCATTGTCCTCTAATCATCACTAATAACTTCCAAAGAAATTGATGGATCATAATGAACAACTGCACATAAAAATTACCGGGTATGATGGGTCTTGTACTGCTATTGTTACATTTGAACCAAACATCATCTGCCACAAAATGAATATGAGAATGCCATTAACATCTGGAAATAACATGTTGATCATGGAAAACTCCCAATACAAATTTCCCCATTCTCTTTTCCCCTCCCACAATGAAAGTAAGATGGTAGAGACAGAGTCAGACATCACGTTAAAGAATATTGTCAACCTGGAGGCGAGATATGTCACATTTTGCTCCATCAGAAACAAATATATCACCTTCCTCAATGCCAAGATCGTTGTAAAACGTTGAAGCAATTGCATTTCTTAGTGGCTGCATATATTAGCAATTCCTGTCATTCTTCCAGCATCTTAAATTTCATGGAAAATCAGATAAGAAATAATCTTCAATACTACTATAAATAAAATAGAAGGAACATATTGCTTCCGTGGTCAAATCCTGTCCTTTACTTAATCTTCCTCAGAATAAACATCAAGACTTATTACATGGACTCCAGATTTTTATTTATGACTCCATACAAAGAGACTATTCCCTAGTCAAATCAATTTTTTTATAATAGAAGTTTAAACTAAAAGGAAACAAAACATGTTCAGATGACGAGAATATAGAATGATAAAATGAAATTTCGGGCTTTAACTTATGCTAAAAACGACAGCCACCAAAGGCACAAGATGGCACACAAATCCACTCGGCAAAACTTGGTTAATTCTATATGCATATAGAAATAGAAAGACATCCACTCCACACATACTCTAGAAGGCAGAACCATGGGACCAGAGTGGGAGTACTTGCAGGAAGAGTTGGTGAAGATATGGTTGATGTTGATCAAAGAGAAAGCTAACGCAAAAACACGGGAGAAGCAGCTGAAAGTGCATGATTTCCTTATTTTTAGCAATTGTTATTCAAATATCTAGTATCCAAATCCTAACAAGATAATCTATCCAAATCTTAATAAAATATTCTAAATAAAATGCCTTAACTATCCTTATTTTTAGCAATTGTTATTCAAATATCTAAATATCCAAATCCTAACAAGATAATCTATCCAAATCTTAATGAAATATTCTAAATAAAATGACTTAACTATCCTAACGGCTTATTTACAAATTACATATCATAATCTTCTAATTTTTCACTAAGTGTCTTGCTTAAGTGATTTTACAATGCATGCCAAATATTGATTCATGGGACGCATTCTGCCAGGAAGCAAAAGAAAGATAAGTCTAAGCAAACTATCAGCAAGGGTGAATCATTATTCCCACACTGACTAGAACATGATATGAGAGGATCTCATGATGACAGGATTTATAATTTATATTTATAAGTGTAATAAAGAACAAACAAAAACTCTTGAAACTGTCAATACCACATACCTTTTCACCTTGTTCAGCTCCATAACCACTATACCCCTCTACAGTAGACAGTGCAAGTGATCTCTGATACAAAAAGTAAGCAATTTCAGCACTTACGGCAGGCAAAACACTAGTTTTGTTTAACCGAGTAGAAATATAGCATCATTTATCATGCCACTTTCCAGTCACCAAAATAATAGGACTGTGTATTCATAAGATATCATTTTCTTACATATTATATGATTTATATGATTTATATGAGGTAAAATTAAGCAAATGCAACCAAGTATAGAAGGGGCATACAGATGACCGCCACAAAAACTGAAGACATAAAGTGAAACTTGTTCTATAAATCATGTGGTCCATATAAATATCCTTTGAAAACTTGACTATAGGACATCGTCTTTCAGATGGCCATTCTACCTCAGAGGGGCACAGTTAGTCAAACAGTTAACATGGTTCAGCTCATTAAGAGTAAAGCAACACATGATTAATTTTCAGTTTCAGCCACTATCACTTGACTCATTTCATTGGTCATCAATACAATCCTTGATACTATGAGTCATGAAGCTCCTATGCGAGCAGTAATTTCATAAGAATAGAATCACAATTCAGAATATAAAAGATGGAATATGTTCATTTAAGTGAAAGCTTGACCTTTGCCATTGCAGAAGTTATGACTTCAGGAATGGGCTCAGTAGTATCACCAATTCCCAAACTTATCACTTTTGCATCAGGGTACTTCTGCAAGTGTGCAGCCCTTCTTCTAGCAATCTGTTCTCCACAATAAAATGGGAAAACAAAGAATGTCAGCGCAAAGCAAAGTATAAAGTAATGCAATATCAAACAATGTAATAAAAACATCCTCAAAAATTTAAGGAGGGGGAACAAAGAAAAATTGTCCATTTTGTCAGTTTACTTGGATTAAACCCCAAAAAAAAACAAAAAGATGGTGCTTGATACCTCTGTTCCCCTCCTTTATAGGTCTTTCTCAAGGCAGACAAGATATAAAAACTTCCAGAGTCAAATGTTTCATTTTTAAGCATACATCATAGCATAAATCTCTTTTCCACTATTTTCTGCTCTACAACAATCAACTACAACAACTTTATTCAAATATAACAATTTTTCTAGTTGAGGAGTAAGGTGAGAAAAGGCATTCTTTTGAATATCACTTGAATGGCAACTTTAACTTTCATAAAGTAAATGAAAGTGGACTCTTTATCACTCAAGATTAAAAGAGAACATCAATCAATGCAAATGTTTACATACTCAATCTCCCTCCCTTTTATCTATAAAAACTAGGACTAAACCGCCCGCAGGCTTCAACATATGAACTGCTAATGTGAAACATGTAAACTAAGACATCGATGCCATTTTGTGTACAAGAACGGGGAGCCATTTCCAAAGGGAACGTAAAATGGGGGGAAATTAATGCTAAAGAAAGACTATTGATAGTCCAAACTCCATCGGTTGCACTGTGATAATAATCAACCAAATCTAAGGCACTGGAGCAATGGATCAATGAAGAAGAACAAGACTATCAGCAGAAAATGTCAAATGGCATTACAGACCTCTGGAAAGAGATAACCAGCTTGAAGTTTTCCCATGTTTGCATTGCGGGAAACTTTTGTCTTGTAAGCTTCAAAATGAAAAGAAAAGAAGCATACCGTCACACTTGACTTTAAATAACAAAGAAGGAAGAATTCAAGGAATTCTCAGCTTTTCTAGTTGTGGCATGTTCTTTTGCATATGCATTGCTATATAAAGTCCAAAAATCAGCAAATATTCACATTTCAAAGGTTATATAGAATTTTTAAGTACACAAATCAAGGTATAGAAGGAAATACTATATAGAATCATGTTTAAAATTCCAGGAACGAGGGTTCAAAATTAACTGGATGGAGTTCATCAATTGGTTGGTGTTATTCAATGGGTTTCAAACTTCATAATTACAGTTTATTTAATAGAGTGAAGATAATCATTCTCAAGTCTTCTTTCAATTAACACCAAAAGACAAATTTGTGCTCAAAGTATACCCTTTCCCTCCCCCAAAATGCAGAAGCGGACCTTGCATGAGCTTCTTGCTTCTGTAAACTACTCTTCAAAGATCATATAGTCTACAACAACTCTTCCAATACATATTCTACTAGCTGCCAGAAAAAGCCTATTCGACTACAGAAACCACCTTCAACTTCGGATAGTTTGGGCCAGTATCTTTGTTGATTTGCACAATGTAGAAAGAGCAATTTCAAGATTATTGAATCAAAAAGGTCATTATTGGAAATCTTTGAACTTGAAGCTTTCTTCTGGTCGCTCCATTGCTTCAAATTTCTTAGGAAGAGTATATCCATTGCATTTCATATCCACACTTTTCTAATTTTTCATGTTCTTAAAAATACAAAACAAAACAAACTGTAGCTAGAATGTCTGAATTGAACTAGCTATACATAGTCTTCGTTACAAATTTTTGGTAAACTGTGAGTACGTTCTACTGACTGAAAACCAGAGAACCTTAAGCTCCCTATGATTCGAGCTGGATTGTGCCTTAACTACATAATCTAGGATTAATAAATTTCGCTCTTCGAGACTAGTCAGAACACTCATTCAGCAGCAACTAACAATGTGTTCGTAACCACTAGTATATAGAACGGTTCGGTAACGGTTCCTCGTTAATTTACAGACAACTAAGCCATTTGTTAAAAAGGAATCTTCGTTTTGCTGCAAGGAAAAAAGAGCAAAACACAACATGACTCAATCCGCTTTCAAATTCAGTGAGCAATCTATCAGGTCAACGAGAAGGGGAAAAGAAATCTTCACACCACCTACCTATACCCCAGTATCGCCTAACAACAAAAATCACAACTTTCACTACAAGGAAGGAAAAAGCTATGGAGGAGAAAATTTAACGATACCAGTGAGCACTTCTTCGGGTGCCGCAACGCATTTACATATGGCCACATTTTTTGCATTCAAGGATACATTTTGACTCCTACAACATCCAAATGAAGCAGAAACGGAAATCATTGCAGGTAAGCTTTGCTGGGTGGGGTCTCATTTCTCTAGGAAAGCAAACAAAAAGCGAAAAACAGAAAGGATTTGAAGTGAAAAAAATACCTTGGATTGAAGTTTGAGGGAGCTAAAAAAGTGGAGGACGAGGAAGAGATTGAGATCGCCGGATTCTGAGAAACCATGGAGGACATCTTCGGCCAGAAGCGGAGATGGGGGAAGTCACTTGTCAGTGCAGGCCTCAGAAGCGGCTGCTCGTTCAGCAGCGCACTTGCAAAAATAGTGAACTTGAACGCATAAACCGTTTTTGGCCATCAAAATCGGGAGAAATCCTTAGGTACTCCCAGAGTACCAGGTCACTTGAACACTGACCAATCAAAAGCCTCCATTTCAGATCTATTTAATCCTACCTGGCACATGTTCCCTCTCCAACTTGCAACGTGTTTGGGAGACGGAAAATGGTTACGGCAGCCAGAAGCGATTTGCAGAAGCCCCACGCTTTGCCGATGGAGGATAATCGAGGAGACGCCGGGTCAGCACTCCGAGTCGACTGCAAGTCCTAGCTTCGCCCCTTCAAGGACCCCTCCTTGCACTCCGTCTTCAACCTCGAGATGCGCTTCGATTCCTCTGTTGAGTTGGCTCGCGGTGGACCCTGAGTTCAAGACGAAGACCGATTCCATGCTTCAATCATTCAACGGCTGGACTTCTCCTTGGAAATTGCACTGATCGGTCGCCTGCTCTGGTCATTGAAAGGTAAAATCCTGATTGCAAATTTCAATTGCTGTTCTTTCATCTGGGTCATGAAATTGGTTAAATGGTAAAATCTAAATTGCTTTTTGACTGCCTCTAAAATTTCCCTCACCAATTCACTAGTTGCTGCTGCAATTCTGGCTGCTAAAGATATCGAATTTCTAGTTTCTCTTGAATATTTATCTAAAAATGAAATGGGTTTAATATTTGGGACTCTTCTATTCTTGTGTTCTGAAATCCAGCTAATTCATACTGTTGTTTACTTCGAATTTTGAGGAGTCTCCATAAAGAAAACCAAAGATTGAAACTTTCATATGAAGCCAATGCCAAGTTGCTGCGTGACTTGGGAATTTTTCAACAGAGGCTTCAAGAGTGTAGGATTAACTTCCTTGTTGAGGAGGAGGATACACTGATTGTTGATGCTTCTCTGCATGAATGCAACTGCCAAATCTGACGACAGGGAGGATGATGAGGAAAAGGAAATTAATTTGAGAAAAATTGTTTTAAGCCGGTTCTTAGAGAAATGACATAGTTGATTCTACATGTGTGCTTTATCATTCAAAATGGGAATCAATTGGTGAGTTCTTTATTATTTATTGTTTTTCGTAGTAGACCTTTGTATAAATTCCTTTTTCCCTTTTTTTGGAGTATCCTTTGTATACATTCTAGGAAAAAAATCCAGATTGGCATGGTAATCAATTATCGCAAAGCCATTCTTCACTACTACATTAGCCTTTTCATTTAGCTAACTTCTCATGGCCCTAGTCCTGACAACAAGTTGCATTTTATTTGAATCAGCACATATGAGAAAGGCTTAAGTTATCTATATATCTTTTATACAACATTTATATTCTATGTATTTTTATAAAATTTCTATGAAAATACTATTTATCAGCCATGAAATATATTACCCATCTCAAGTGATGAATAAAACAGAGGGCATGTATTTGGCTTATTATTTACATTGACAAAAAAGAATGTCGTACATTGGCCGCATAAGCTAGTTTTGCTATCTCACCACTGGGAGAAGCAATTTATAGCGTATTCTTAATGTTAATCATCTCAATATATACATAGCAACAATATTTGCTTTGACTGGGACATCTCTATCATATCTCAAGTGTACAGACTACAAATGAAAGGGAAAATAATTTTAATGTTACAAAGGGAAAAGCTACCAAGGTAAAATTGCAATAAACTCCTCTGCCCATTCAAGATACCCCTCTACAAAATGGTAGACAATATATCCAATAAATCCACGGCCAATGTAACTGCACTTGTTTTGGCCAAAATGTAGCTACATTAGCTTGTCCAATGACGTGCCTTGCTCTTAGGCATCGCAATGTATAGTTGCAGTCAGCG